TTACCGTTTAAGGCTCACGTAATTGTAAGGGCCCTAAAAACTCTCTAATAATTGGCTACTTATATCAACGCTTCTGGATATTTGTTCAATATATTTATTATTAAATGTGAATAAAACTTATTTCAAATTTTGTTGAAACACTAACGATCTAACTCATGTAATCTCAATACAAATTACATCTCTCGGTTTGTTAGTTTAATAAATTCCTATTGTAAAGAGAAATGTATGTGCTTTATTTTCCCAATTAGTCCTGGTTTTCACACGAACAAAATTTTAGCGCGCAATTTGAATTGTGATATCCGCGATCTCTGTTAAGTTTCAATAATATTTCGAGCATCTTATAATACCCTTTAATTGTGATGTTAATTGAAGCCCTAGCATAAAGATCACAATTAAGGGGCATGATGAAATGCTTGGAAAATAATTGAAACTTCAACGGAAATCACAGAGGTCATAAACTGAATTCAAATGTCCCGCTAAATTTTGATGGGAACCTAATCGATAAAGAATATTTCTTCTGCCAGTAGTGGAAATTAGAGTTTAGTTTTGCAAGCAGCCGCTGAGAATAAGCGACAAATTTCATTGTGCAGGCGCATATGGCAGTTTCCAATCTATAACCTCTGTGCACATTACCTATATAATAGCCTGCTTCTTCAAGTAATTTAGAGCAAATTGAAGCAACAAGAAATTCACTCAAACTGTTATCTGCAGTTCTACCATATCTTTCATGAGACTTGTCGACGGAGCCTAAAAATGGTTCTAAATGTTCTCTGTGACCGCTAAATGGTCGAATAGTATAAGMTATTTTTTAGGCTGCTGCGAGAGTCGTCATTCCTGTATTTCGTTAATATTAATTTTTAAATTTGCAAGGGTGTGCTCGATTTCGGATATTTGATCTTCAAAATGCTTAGTTTAGTGTTATCTAATGCAATGCTCATAAAATATAAATATTATTTTAAGCTGCTCCGAAAAAGCTTTCAATAATTCAAGAAAGCAGAAAAACTCAAAGAAAAATTGTATGCATCTCGAATCTGAAAGATGCAGTTTAAGTCGCTGCATTACTTTTTTATGAGTAAGGTACAGAAGCGACTAAATTAGTTCATACTAACCCGAAACCTGTATTTTTTTGCGGATTTTATTTGATAGTTGCAATCATTCATTTAGAAATTATTCGATAGTTGAAATCATTCGGTATTGCCCATTACTAACAATATCCATTCTATCCGGGAATAGAATTCACGCCTGCTTTTTGATATGGTGTTATTGGGTACAGTAATAAATTATTGGGGAAGCAAATACTTGCAAATTTTATCATCTTCAAGAGCAGACGAAAACCGGAATACAGCATAGAAGATTACAGGCCCAACGACTTTCTACAAATGTTTAATATTATCTAATCAAGGAGCGAATATTAATAACAATACGACGGATTGTTTGCAAATGATTTGGAAAGGCAGAAGATAGGTTAATTGAAAAGTCAGCTGACACCAGGAGTTGGATGATAAAAAAATATACTAACTAGTATATGAAAGAGAAATTGAAGACGCGAATTTGGTGTAACTGCATTCAATTGTGCTGCAAAGGATTTGATTATTCAACTAATGAGGAAATTCGGATATCATTTTAAATTGTCCATGAGTGAGACATTTTTTTCGATAATTAAAAATAATTCTATGGTTTACATCTTTCGCCTTTTTAAATCATTCATATTGACGGCAAAGTGATGTAACTAAAACCAGTCGTCGCAAAACGAGTTCGGTTTAATAAGATCGTTTGACTCAGATTCATATAAATTTCGAAGCTTTTAATTAAATATTTCTGTTTTTTCGCTAACATTTTACAGATTATTTGAGGTCACCTTTCCGCGAAATTTTGAACAGACTAGCTCAGGCTTGAAAAATGTTTGAACTAGTAAACCAGTTAGTTACCAATGGTTGAAGTCAGCAGTAGGTATCTAGTGATAACTGGCAAAATAGAAAATTGCAAGTTGCAAGCATGTTTTCTTCATTTTAAGGTTTAAGTTCAAATTGCTATTTAAGTTTCAACTATTTTGTTGTTTTCAAATATAAAGTATTTGTGAAAATTCAGTACCTTAATATGCATGCAATTGTTGAATAATTTACAATTTTAGATATTCAGAAATTCTGCGTTTTGTTTGTTTCAATAGCTTATAGATTAATAGCACATGAAATAAGATCTCAAGTAATTGGTTTTGAAAATTGCTAATTTGTGGGTAAAATAGGAAAGCTTCCAAATTTATACTAAAAGCTATTTGGTCGTAAAATGGAACATGGTGCTTTCAAATATAGTTTGGAAAATGCTGTTCTTTATACTTGTGTGACGAATAAAAAATCATCCCCATTTTTTGTAAATAGAACCCTAATGATTCCGCCCCATCATCTTCATCATAACCCAATGTGCAAGCCTAATTTGTTTTGGACGTTGCAAATCACTGAGGGATACCTTTATGGCCCATGTTGGGGCGGAGTTACCACTGGTAGGTGGTCGCTACGACAAGGAAGGGATAAATAAAATAAGGGTAAGTTTGTGAAATGTTTGCCAGTCATCCGTCTCGCATTGAATGAGTAGTTGATCGGTAGTGCCTCGCGCTTGTTCTGTTCTGTGAGTCGCCGTGAATGTCTTGCTAAAAAAATGATTAATAATAATACTTCAAAAAATTTTTTTGTGGACTCGTTGTTAAAAGATGGTGCCCCTAGTGCATGTGAACCGCAGTTGCCGCCCTACAGACCTAACATGCCCATTCCCTTTCCTTATGCAAATTTTGTTAATAATTATATGACGCCGTTTTTCACGTCATGGTTTTCCGGACCGCGGTTCTTCCCAAACAGTGCACCAGTTCGTCCAGTTGCTCTTATGCCTCCCGTAGCTAGGCCTGTCGCACCTACGGATTTCACTCCACCACCCTCAACAGCGGGGTCTTTGCACTCAGAAAATGATTTAAGTTTGCTAACGAGAGATCATTCGCCCGCTAGTAGCAGAGAGTCATCCTTAAGCCCTACCCTACCAGGCGCAGAAGATTCTACCAGTTACGAAACAGCATCAGACCGTAATTCGACGAGCAAGCGAATAAGAACAGCTTTCACCGCTAATCAACTGTTAACCCTGGAGAAAGAATTTTCGCGTAACCAATACTTGATGAGATTGAGACGTATTCAAATTGCCAATTGTTTGAACCTATCTGAAAAACAAGTAAAGATATGGTTCCAAAATCGAAGAGTGAAATGCAAGAAGGAAATAGCAGAAAGCACTGGTTTGAAATCAAACGAAAATTGTGCCTGCAGATGTAATAGGTCAGAAAAAGACTCAGATCTAGATTCATGTTGTGAAAATATTGATGTGGAAGAGCATTGAATAGCATTTAAAATTACACAACTTAAACTTTTCGTTATTTGAAGGTAGTTTTATTGAAACAGTGTCATAAATGTAAATATGAGTCAAACTTATTCATAGATAATCGACGATCACATTTATAGTACTAAGTATTTAATTAATTTTATAGTACTAATTAGTAAATAGTAGATATTCGAAGTAATAATTTTGCGAAAATTTATTATACCATTTTTACCAGAATTTGCTCAAGTCGAATTAAGAAAATATGTAAGAGTTTAGTACTCTACTGTGCACTCAAACAATATTTTTCTATAAATTTACAATTTTTAATCTTAAGACGAGAAATCAGGAAGGTTCATACAGTACCAGGTTAGGTCTAGTCACTTGTAAAGTGTAAAGGTTTCGAGTAGTCTAATTTATTTCATTTTAATTTTAAGTTGCCTGAGTTTTCAATTAGTCATTTTAATTTATTTGCAGTCTGTTATATATTAGTTACATTTAATCTAAATATTCAGAATCTTCAATATATTAGGATTTATTTACTGAAACAATTTTCAGTATTCCCATATTTTTCATATTTTCATTATTCTTATAATGAAATTGTTTCTTAACTCTTGTTAAGAAAACCTTAATTCTTCGCTGTAATTAATTTATCAGATGTTCAAATTGCCAACGCGTTTCGAGTGTTGAAACTACTCAGCTAAATGTAAGGGTAAAAATATAAGTATATGGCTGTGCTTCCTTCACAAGGGAACAGGAAAACCTAGGACTGTGTGTAATTAGTAGTGTAGTAGAAAATAACTATAAATAGTAGTAGAAATGACAAAAATGTAATGGAAATATAACTTAATTTTCAAGTTTGAGTTTGTCTTTCATTTGCCTCAGTTTAAGAACATTTCCGCTAAACGTGTCCAGTCACTCCAACTGAAATTGGATACCCTTTTGACGGACCCGATTTTTTTTAAATTCAAAATAAATAAAGCAACGTGTGTAAATCCTTCATACTAGTTTACTTTACTTATTCCTTAAAGAAGTAAGTTAAATAGTATTATTGAGCTATTCAAATGTTTATTAAGTTATTAAGTAAAAATTTCAATTTTTAAACAAAAAAGTCACATTTTGCTATTTTTCCATAGCAATAAGTAGAGTATTTCAGTGATATTTTAATGTAATGTTTCCAAGCAATCTGCTTTCGTCAAAATTCAAAAATATAGTCAATAATTCAAAGTATTTTGAAATTTGCTTGTACTCGAACACTAATATGTGTACACATTATTTATGCATTAAGATAATGCTCATCGGATAGGCTGTAAATCTATTACAAATTGTTTTAATTTTCATTAGTAAAGTTCCCAACGGTTAATAATATTGCAAGTGCTTTAATACATATTTTATGTACTCTGATGGAAATTCAAAGTGGGTTTATAGTAGGAATTGGCCACTTGGTGTTTTGGTATGACACAAGTTTAAATTTTTAAATGCCAACTTTACTTGATTATTGCTTTATCGAATAGAGCATTTTATTACGATTTTTTCGATTTTTTCGGATTTTTTTGAAAACATGTCTGCAAACAATTTATACTTTTTCGAATTACATTGTTTCTATAGCAAGCAATAATAACAACATCTTTCAATTTTTGACATTCAGGTTTAAATTCAACTTAGAAAAGTTAGTTTCATTGTAAAAATTAATTACTTCAATCAAGAAAAGCGCGACATGATTGAAACCTACATTATTAGATGTGATAAAAATGCTAGACRAGCCTCTTGAGAGGTATTTTGACCGTTGTTAACCCTCCTTGAAACATTAAAAGGATCATACGACAATTTCGGCACTTATGGAAGTTTTACGCAGCCAAGAAAGAAGATAAAGTAATAAATGAAGCTGTGGGGGCAGAAAGACCGATTGGGTCGATAGCCTTTTTCTGTAGGAAATAAAGATTATTTATATGTATGAACCTGTGGAGGTTAATATCTTGGCCATTGTAAGCCATAATCCACAGATTTCTACCAGAAAGATCGCAGCAGAATCCGGGACTTCCCAAAGCACCCTGATGAGTTCCATCCGTATAAATTATCAGTAGCCTAAATTTTTATATTTTCCGCATGCCGTACGCAGATATTTTTTCGTAACCGTCCACACCAGTCCTGGCTCATTGCGCTTGCGCATCTCATTGCCGCGTTGCCGGTTTGATACTTGCGATTGCGGAAGAAATTATAACCTCAGAAAAACACGCTTT